GAGCCTGGCTCTCTCTCTTGGGGCTATGAGTTGGCTGGCCGGCCCTTAAGTGTCCACAAATTCAATTATGCTTCCCCAATAAACACCTGCAGCAACCATCGCTCTCCGGTATCTCTCTGGGGGAGACCTAGAAGAAGGATCTTCCTGTGTTTGCTGAGGCCATTCATTCATTTATTGATTGATGTATTGGTTTATTCTTTGATGCCTTTATTGATTCAACACATGCTTATTGTATGCCTGCTGTGTGCCGGGGCCCTGGACCAGGCACTGGGGACACAGCAGTGAAAATACAAACATTGTTTCTGTCCTCACGGAGCTCACAGTGTAACAGGGAGACAAATAGACCTGTCAGTAGATAACATGAAAATAACTGGACTGTGTGCTGCAGACACAATATCCTAGGTCTATGAGAATGTCAATACAGACTTCACGTGGGCAATGGTGAGGCAATAAGGATCATTTCCCTTGATGAAACGGAGCTTGCAGAAGAAGGCAGGGTCAGTTGTGGGGAGCTCTGGGTGGAGGTGGGGGGAGTACATTCCAAGCTGCAGGAACAGCAAAGGCAAAAGCCCTGAGGCTGGAGAACAGGTACCATGTGGAGTTTGTCACTCGATTAGGGTGTTGCAGAGAATTAGGGGAGAGTCTTATTTATTTATTTATTATTTATTTTTTTATTGAGATGAGGTCTTGCTATGTTGTCCAGGCTGGTCTCGAACTCCTGAGCTCAAGCTATTCTCCCACCTTGGCCTCCCAAAGTGCTGGGATTACAAGTGTGAGCCATCACACCTGGCAAAAGAGGTGAGCCTTTATGATGTCCTAAGTCACCACCGGGCACAAGTTCACACTTGTCCTATGATTGGCCCATGACACTGATGGGTAGCAGACAGGAAAATAATCTTTTCTGAAACTTTTTTTTTTTTTGGTACAGGGTGGTGTTCTGTTGCCCATTCTGGAGTGCAGTGGTGCAGTCACGGCTCACTGCAGCCTTGACCTCCCAGGCTCAAGTGTTCCTCGCACCTCCCAAGTAGCTGGGACTACAGGCATGTGTCACCTCACCCAGCCAATTAAAAACAAAACAAAAACAAAACAAAACAAAACAAAAAAAACATTTTTTTGTAGAGACGGGGTCTCACTATATTGCCCAGGCTGGTCTCAAACTCCTGTGCTCAAGCAATCCTCCCATCTCATCCTCCCAGAATGTTAGGATTACAGGTGTGAGCTCCCACACCCAGCCCACTTCTGGAACTTTTATTGGAAAGTACCCTTAGGCTGGGTTCGGTGGCTCACACCTGTAATCCTGGCACTTTGAGAGGCTGAGGTAGGAGACCATGTCTTTCCAAAAAAAAAAAAAATGTTTTTTGAGACAGAATCTGTCTCTGTTGCCCAGGCTGGAGTGTAGTGGTGCAAACTTGGTCATGCAGCCTCTGCCTCCTGGGTTCAAGGGATTCTTATGCCTCAGCCTCCCGAGTAGCTGGGACTACAGGCGTGATCCACAACGCCCAATTTTTATATTTTTAGGAGAAATGGAGTTTCACCATGTTGTCCAGGCTGGTCTTGAATTCCTGGCCTCAAGTGGTTCACCTGCCTCAGCCTCCCAAAGTGCTGGGATTACAGGCATGAGCCACCACGACCAGCCAAAAAAAATTTTTTTTTAATAGAAAAGTACCGAGAACCCTGGCCTATGGAGGGCTTTAAATGCCATTCCCTCATTGAGTCCCCCAGGAAAGCGCCATGAGGTGGTTAGAGGTCTTGGGTTTAGAGTCAGGTATTTTCTATTTCCAGGCTTGTGGGGGCGTCCGAGTGATGTGACCAACCCCATACACGGTCCGTGGCTGTATGAGCACAGGATGTATGTCCTTGTTTGCTTCCCTTCCTTGCCTGTGCCTGTACCCCCTGGAGTGAGCCAGCCCCCACTCCAAGTAGAAGCGATTCCTCCCCGACCTCCCCGGTTCTCCCCCACGGGCCAGCCCGTTTAAGGCGAAGGTCGAAGGGAGTCTGCGCTATGAGGCCGGCTGTGACTTGTTGTCGTAGCACATCAGAACAACAAAATCACTAGTCTTCCACACAGCACTAGACCATAGCCACTCTAATCTTCTTCACCACCCCCTGCCCCATGTCTGAGATCGCTGCCCAGCTCCTCCTTCTCACCTGAGCCAAGCTGTGACACCTGGGCTTCCTGCCTCTGTGCTGCCTCCCTGTTTTCCATTCCCGGTTCTCCTGGAGAGAGGCAGGGTCTGATCTCCAAGGGCCCAACTCCCACCCAGGCACATCAGAGACATGGGATTTAGAGTTGGACGGATGGGGTTGACTTACAGCTTCACTTGTGGGCTGAAAGCCCCTGCGTGGGTTATTTTTCTGCCTTTTTTGGGGTCTTGGATTCCCCAAATGTCACCTGGGCACAGTAACACCCATGTCCTAGGGTTGAAGATGGCATGATATGCTGTATGTACAATGCTTGGCACAAGGTTCCTCACTGAAGTCTGGAAGGGACACCATAATGTCATCTTAGCAGGCACCTGTTACCCCAGTGAGGCATCTTACCTGTTGAAAATTCCAGACTTGGGTCAAGTGTGGTGACTCAAGCCTATAATCCCAGCACTTTGGGAGGCTGAGGCGGGCGGATCACGAGGTCAAGAGTTTGAGACCAGCTTGGTTAACATGGTGAAACCCCGTCTCTACTAAGAATACAAAAATTAGCCAAGAGTGGTGGCAGTACCTGTAATCCCAAATACTCGGGAGTCTGAGGCAGGAGAATTCCTTGAACCCGGGAGGCAGAGGTTGCAGTGAGCCGAGATCGTGCCACTGCACCCCAGCCTGGGCAACAGAGCAAGACTCCGTCTCGGAAAAA